GCCTTGAAAAATGGCCTTTTTAAATCTTGGGCTCCATATAAAAGTTATAGGCCCATGTCTTACCTTTCCATACATATAAAGTAGACCTAAATCTGAGATCTTCAACTCTTGATATGACCCAATTACCAAATAGTGTTCCGATTTGGACTGCACGAATATCTCTTTTCTAAGTTTGGTCATCTCTTTGTCCTTTTAATTTTAGTTTTTAAATTCATCAATCAATCATTTCACTTATATGATAGGCCTGCATTTAAAATGAATATTTACCACAAATTAAAGGTATCTTATATTTTTAGATATATTATTATAAAACATACTTTAGTTAAAGAGTTATTGATACTTCAAGTGCAAAATAATGATATAAATCCTTGATAAAAATACACTTTTAAGTACTAATCAAGAGATCAATAAAAAAAGAAAGAAAAAAACATAGAGGGAAAGGAGAGAAATGAAGAAGGTAGACAAAGAAGTGGAGGAGAAAAGAAAACAGAGGAAAGGCTACCACTGTCACCGCCACCGTCACTGCCACTAACGACCACGCTCAGGCTGCACCACCTCTACGTAACCTCCTGCTGCCCCGTTTATTTCCTTCTTGCTTCGCCCATGCCTTCATTTGCATGTAGAACGTGAATAATTCATATTCTACAGCAAATGAGGATAGGGCTAGTTATTGTGTTTATGCATAGTAACCAACCATATTGGTTTTGGGTCAAGTCTGGTCCAGCCCATTAATTTGTGTCTTTTCATAAAAAAAAAAATATTTTTTTTCATATAACCAAGTGTCTCAAAGCTAAAAAAATCACATTGTCTTTTCTCATGTACCAAGAAAAAACTATTTTAGCATGCATTTTAGTTTTAGTAACCAGTTTATTCAAGTCAAGAGAACATTAACTAATATTTCAAAAAAAATTCAAAAAAAATATTTTTGTTTGGTTTTAGCACCAAGGATTACTAGTTTATACGTAAAACATATTTCTAGTATTAAAAGGTTTTTTTTTTAATTTTGTTTAGACTTTTTTATCAAACTATAAAACAATGCAGCTTACCTTAGGTAGGGCGTATTTGGGGTGCTAATACCTTCTCTTTATGCAACCAGTCTTTATAGCCCATCTTTAAGATCAGTTAGGGTTTATAGTGATCAAAATATTAAGTGACGACTTTCAATCCATATTTTACTGATAAGAAACAAGAATTCCTTGTCTCTCCATATTTACAAGATAGATTCACATATAACTCTTGAGGGTAGAAAATAACTGCAATGTCGTACATGTACAACAATTATGATTGGACAAATATCCTGGAATCTCTAGCGGCTAAAAATTGTTATAGTGAACAATATATTATATGTTTAGGCAATTGACATGTTATTTGCTCACTTAAGTGAACAATTGTCCATTTAAGCCTTTTTTTTTAAAGAAAAAACTAGGCATGCAACTAAAGTCTTTCAAGACCAGGCACACTCGAGTTTTTTTTAGGTCACACATGATTTTGTTCTCTTAGCACCCGTCATTTTTTAAAAGGTAAAACATGTGGGTTTGACCTTATAAGCTTAAGTGTGTCTAGGCTATCTTTTCAAGTCTAGGTGCGCTCGGATTTAATTGTCTTGACATTTCAATTTTTATTTTTATTTTTTATTTTTTATGTTTTGGAATTATTTTTTTTATATAAAATTATTTAAATTATATTTAAAAAATCTTCCAATTATATCATAATCTTTAAATCGAGTAATGCTTTTATTGGTAATATTATCTATTATTTTATGGATTATTATATATGAACTAATATGTGAAGCTTTTTTTTAAAATATTTATGAGTATTTAATAAGAATAAAATATTTATTTTATTATTTTTTATTGTTATTTTTATATTTATTTCTTAAATTAATTATTATATTTTTACTTTTTAATAGAATCACATGCCCCTTATTATATTTTTATTTTTTAATACAATCGCATGCCCTAACACACTTTGGATCCATTTGTTTACTTTCAATTTCTGTGTTTGCAGTGTAAAAAATATAATAAGGTGTTTGGTAACGCATCAAATATTTATTTTATTATTTTTTATTGTTATTTTTATATTTATTTCTCAAATTAATTATTATATTTTTATTTTTTAATACAATCACATGCCCCCAACACACTTTGGATTCATCTGTTTACCTTCAATTTCTGTGTTTGCAGTGTAAAAAATATAATAAGGTGTTTGGTAACACATCAAATTATGTTTTATAATACAAGATTCATTAAAAAATTTAAGTTTGAAATGTAGTTTTTATGAAGTAATTTTTACATAATTTTTTTAACCAAGTTTCATAAAATAATATTTGTTTTTGCATTTTAAAAATGCTTTTAAAAAAATTTATTTTTTTATTTTTTTAAATTAAATTAATATTTTTTTAGTGTTTTCAGATTAATTTCATTAACTAATATCAAAAATAACTTCTTAAAAATAAAAAAAAATTATTTTAATATATTTTTAAGTAAAACATATTTTGAAAAATAACTGCAATTACATTTTAAAACACAACTAACCAAATATTTTATAAATATTTTTTTACTACATATAAATTTTAACTATAAATTTTACTAAAAACATTTCTAAATCCAAGTAATCACATTTAATCAAATCATATCGAAACTATTTACTGTCAGGGTTTTGTTATCCTATCAATGCCATGGCCTGAACGGCCTATGCTACTTGTTCCTGCAACTTGCTTTCTTCAACACTATTACCAAACTCCCCAATTTCCATTTACATCCTCGGAACCAAAAAGGCCCAAACCCTACGCCCCACAGGCTATGTGCCAATAAATACCTCGCTTCACTTCAAAATATCGTTCCTTGTTCCCTCGTTCGTTCCTCCTCCAAAAACCTTATCTCATTTCAAAACCAAGCCAGAACACACGAGAGAAACCATGTCTGCAGCATCTGCCTCTTCACTAGTCCTCCCATCGCTCAATCACCCAAATACCATAAAATCTTTCTACAGCAAACCCAATTCGCTCTTTTTTCTATCTCCTTCTTCCACTTCTTCTCTCAAGCCCGTTTCTCTCCTTCTCTCCTTTCAACACCAGCAACAGCCTCTGTCCTCTCGGTTTCTAAAAAATGTTGCCATTTCATCTGAATTCGGACAAGAAGAGGATTTCTTGAGTGATGGGGACGAGCGCAGTTTCTCTCAAGACCTCAAATTGTTTGTGGGTAATCTTCCTTTTAATGTTGACAGTGCCCGGCTCGCTGGTCTCTTTGAAACCGCTGGAAATGTTGAGATGGTTGAGGTGTTGTCTCTCTCGTGCTCTTTTTTATGACCCTACTTTTATTTCTCTTTTAGCTTTGCTTCTTTTTGAACATGAGTGTTTTAAGGTTAGAATTTTTTCATATTTCCTGTAAATTGGAACGTTTTTTTTTTATGTAATGATTTTTGTATTGAGTATTTTACTGTTGGGTCTGTTTATATGGTTAAAGATAGTGTCTTTATATGGTTTCTAGGTGAAGCCAATTTAACGAATAAAATTTTAGTTTGCTATGAGCTTTAATGTTTTCTTTGGATCCTCATGGTTGAGTTTTAGAGGTTGGCTTTATTTGAAAGATTAGTAACCATCTGCTTTGATGTGCTAAACGTTTTACTTTTTGGAAGGTAATATATGACAAGGTAACTGGGAGAAGCAGAGGATTTGGTTTTGTGACCATGGCGACTATTGAAGAAGTTGAAGCAGCAACTAAACAGTTCAATGGCTATGTAAGTCAATGAAAACAAAGATGGATGGATAGTTTGTAAAATTATAAGGGTTTGAAGTGGTGCTCACTTTTGTTTGAGATTGTTTGGTGGGAGTGCAACTTAGTGGAGCTTGCTTGGTGGTTTTAAAAATTGTTTTTGCCCCATTTATGCATCCTTTTATTTTCTTTTTTATGATGATGCCATGGCGCATACAAATTAGGTTTATTGTATCTAAGTGATTATCATGCAGGAACTCGATGGGAGGACATTGAGGGTGAATTTTGGACCTCCTCCTCAGAAGGAAAGTTCCTTTTCAAGAGGGCCTAGAGGTGGTGAAACATTTGATTCTGGCAATCGTGTTTATGTCGGCAACCTTTCATGGAATGTTGATAACTTGGCACTTGAAACATTGTTTAGAGAGAAAGGGAGGGTGATGGATGCTAGAGTTGTTTATGACAGGGATAGTGGTAGATCAAGGGGCTTTGGTTTTGTTACTTATAGTTCTGCTGAAGAGGTTGACAATGCCATTGACTCCCTAAATGGCGCTGTAAGTATATCATTCCCATTTTTCTTGAAGATATGTGCTTGTTCTTCAATTGGGCTACCATGTGCTGAAACTAAAATCCTAAAATTGCTAGTTTTGCAATTGAGTGTTCTGTGGTTAGAACATAGTGCTAATCATTTGTGTTTTTGTCCCATTGCCTTTGAGAGTTTTGGTTCTCATTAGCCTGATGTTTTTTGATAAAATTTGTAATACAGTTGATTTGCATTCATTTTGAGGACTTGTTTGCACACAAAGGAAATTGTCTGGCAGTTTTTGTGAAAATGCAACTCTGAAGTTTATAATGTCAAATCTGACACTTGCTACTGCTACTCCACCAATGCACTTCGAAGTCTATTTAGCTACAAATTAAGAGTCACTTGGTAAAATTTGTTTGGTGCAGGAATTGGATGGCAGAGCAATTCGGGTCTCAGTTGCAGAAGCTAAGCCAAGGCGTCAATTTTGAGCGCTAGATCTTTTCTGTATCTTCTCCCTGAGAAAATATTTTGGGTGGTACTTGTCCACACTTTGCACTTTAAGTCTGGTTGTGAACATGAGTATTGTTTTAAATTGAACTAACTCATTTCCTATCCTCCAGCTGGTTCCTTATATTATATCTAATTACTGTTGCAGGGACTTGGGAGATACGCGGTTGCAGTATGTTCTTGTGATGCAACCTCTTTGAATATGCTCCTTGTGCCTGGGACTCATCGGGCTCTTTGATAGATGCATCTAAGATGAACAAGGGTTGATTAAATGTGTTTAAATTTTTTGATGTATGTTTTAAATACTGTGATCCAGATGAAAACATGAATGTAGTTTATTTATCGAGGTGATGTGAATTATTTAGTGCTTTGGCTTTGCTATATGGATTGTGCTAGAAGAGCTTTGTCATTGTTGAATGAATTGCAGCGAAATCCAAGTTCAGGATCAGGTTCCAAGCCAAAACTAGTAGTTGATTGGGTGTGTTCAGTAATGGAGTAACACACCATTTTTTCCAAGAACATGAAAAGCGGAGTTTGTCTTCAAATGTACTGTATTTACAAATTGGAAAAAGGAAAAGGGCTTATTTTTCCGTTATAAAGGTTGGGGGTTGGCAAACATCAAAAGTATGTTCTCCACATTTTTCTTCATCAATTTTCATTGTAAATGATTTTTTTTTTCAAAAATAACCTATATCTTTTACACACACGCACACAAAAAAAATTAAAAAAACAAAAAAAAATTAAAAAAATAAAATAAAATGGCTCAACTTTTTCCCTTGACTAATTTATCTTTCAATATTATTTTGGATAGGGTTGAATTTTTTTTTTATGAAATTTAAATATTGTTTATCAAATGATCTGGATAATTTAATAAATTTATATTTTTTTATGTTTGTTTATACACAATGAAATTATTTCACCACCTTTAAAAACTAAGAAAATAAGTTTTTTGTGTAAGGATTTTCATATATTTAAAAAGTTTAAAAGTTTTGGCTACGTATAGAGAGGTTTTTTATTTATATATTTTTTTTCAAGTAAAATGACTTGTTTAGTCTTTAACTTTTTAAAATTTAAGTTTGGTAAGGGAGAGTATAGAGAGGTTTTTTATTTATATATTTTTTTTCAAGTAAAATGACTTGTTTAGTCTTTAACTTTTTAAAATTTAAGTTTGGTAAGGGAGAGTTTTTTCATCTGTCACATTTTTTTTTTTTTTTTTACATTTGGATGCTCTCATGGGGTTTTTTAGTAATTCAAATTATTAAAATATTAATAAATTAATAAAAAACTGAGATGTGTGTATCACACATTAGCATGTTATCATCCCCTACCAAATTGGAGGCGTGTGGTGATTAATACTTAAAAGTGTATTTTTATCAAGGTTTTATATCATCATTTTACACTTAAAGTATCAATAATTCATTAACTAAAACATGTTTTATAAAGACAAGTTTGATAATATAAGATATTTTTAATTTATAGTAAATGCTCATTTTAAATGTAGGCATTTTTACAATTCAAAAGATTGATTGTTGTGATTAATTATTGAAAGTGAAAGGACAAAGAAAAAGCTACGCTTACGAAGGAGATGCTGATTTACTTCAAATTTGAACACCGTTCAGTAATCGGATCATATCTAGAGCTATAGATCTTGGATTTCATATTAATTTATATGGCTGGAAAGATAAGAAATAGGCCTACAACTTTCATGGTATGGAAATACCCAAATTTGCTATTTTCAAATTCAAAGTTTGGTCGCAAAAGAGAAGTCTGAATCTGTCTTGTAATCTAGCTCAAACACTACTCAGAGTTTTACCCATAACTAGAGTTCTAGAAGTTGAAATGATCTGAATTTTGGTGAGTAAAAGGAAAAGATAATTTTCAACAACTTTCATAGAGGAGCAGCTCAAATTCGGATGGTAGAAATGAGATTTCATCTAGACAAGAGCACGAGGGTTATCCACCACGTTCACCAGCAGCACTGCTCGGTAATTTAGACATATCTCAAGCTGTAGTGTTCCAAATGATCTAAAATTTGGTGGGTGGAAGGAAAAGATAATTTCCAACAACTTTAATGAAGAACACTTTGCTAAATACTGATTGCATTAATGTCAATTCAGCTAGCCAAAGGGCTTAAGTGATGTTATCCACCAAGTCCACTAATCAATAGTTGGCTACTACATCAATTATCAATTATCAATTACCAAATGAATAATTCTAAATTTTAGCCTATAAAAGAAGGTATTTGCCATTCATGTAGACATCTTGTTTTTTATATCAAGATCATGTTCTTGCTCTCTCTCTTTGTATTTTTGTAATGCTTAAGTTTTGCTTTCATTAATCTCTTGTTCATTTTTTTCATTTCCCTTATTATACTTAGTTAACTTATATCATGTTTATATTCTTGTATTGTTTCTTTAAGTTTTTCTTCTTCATAATATCTAGTTAAGATAATTATGTCAAGGTGAAAAGGTTTCACTAATGGTGTTGGGATAAGTATAATATAAACTCAATATAGACTTCAATGCTTATATTATAAACAACTTGCTATTAATATATCTTATGATTTTTATTTTATTAATTCTTAATATCTTACTTCTTAAATGATTAATCTAGATTTGTGTTGTATAATATTTGGTACATCAAATACTTAATCCTTCATAGTCTTCGATTGACATCGTTATTATAAAAGAAACTTAATTTGTTGTTAATATAAGTTAACATCATGAATACTTGATAAAATTTATAAGTATGGTATTATGTAATAAGATGATTAATATGATCATGTTGATAATTAATAAAGAGTTTATACCTTAATTATCTCTAATACTATTAGTGTATCCTCTAACCTTGATATTTGTTTTTATCATTGTATAATCTTTACATTAATTTTACATCTTAAAATTCTTTTTAACTCATCATCATCATCATTATCATTGTTATTATTGTTATTATTATTATTTATAATTTAAACTCTATCTTTTCTGTCCCATAAAAGCTAGCAAACATACTATGTTAAGATTATGGACTTGATGAGTATTTTAATTGATTAGATAATATTCTATTTATCACTTAAAATAACGTCAAACGATTTTAATCATGTACCAGGAATTTACAAAGCTAGGCATGATACATTCCAGGTTTTTGTTTGCCTTGTTTAATGGAATGATCAGAAGAATTCACCGCAACAACAAAAATAAAATAAAGAAGGAACACGAGCGGCACTAGGTCTAACATAGTACACAAGCGAGACTCACTAGCACACAAAAACATGGGTCAAGTGCGCATGCAGGAGGTACACAAGTAGTTAACCAGTAAAACGCTCGATCCCCTATTAAGAACAGTTATTACGAGTTTATAATCTCTGTGCTTGGGGTCTGGGTGGAAGTAGACATATCATAAGCGAGAACAGCTGGCTAGCTTTGGCCAGATGAAGGCTAGCTTAGGGATTGGGGATTTTTAAGTAATATAATACATAGTTCAGTTCCTGCAATCCTGGCAACAACACTGTAGAACATAATAAGAAATGAGCAAGTGGAGTTTAATGAAAGTATATTTGGTAAGAAATTGTGGGTTTTTTTTTCTGCTTTTCTTTTTTTCTGGGGAGTGAGGTGGAGGAGAGGCAAATGCAATTCGAGGCAAATGCAATTCGTGGCATAGCATGCATTCATGGTGGGGCTGAGGATATGGGGAAGGGAAGGGAGAGAGGGAATAAAAATAAAAATGTTTCCTTTGCATACAGCAGGTGTGTCGAGCAAGGGAGGTGGATGAGGGTACACAGGCTGATAGGCCATAACCCACTTATGTTCTTGTTTCAATCATCAATGCACAAGGCTCCATACTATCATCTCTTATTTCTGAATTTTACCCATACTACCTCCCTCGTTTTCAAGTATGTTTTTTTTTTTTTTCCTTTTTCCCTAGGTTTGAACACGTATAAATGTTCATTATTTTAAGAGATGTGCCCATTTTTTCTTATAATGTCATAAATGGCCTCTTTTTCTGCCAGTATGTTTCTGGTTTAAAAGGAAAAAGACTTTTGGGATGAAAAGTGACCAAAAAAAGGAAAAGAATCTTCAGTCTTGATGTGCAATGAGAAGAACGATCCTTCTTACAGTTTTCCAACTACCTTTTCTTCCTTGGTTCTAATCAAACTTTCACCCTCTGGACAGATAAAAAAAAGAATTTTTGCCTTTACAATCTATTGTTAGTTAGGTCATGCCTCGTCACGTGCCCCGCTCTCTGCTATGGGATGGGGCAAAAAAAAAAAAAAATCAATGAAAAAACATAGAAGTAATGTTATAGAAAGAAATTAATTGCATGCCTGCATGTTGCTGCGAGGCGATTTTGAAACATGTATTTATTTAATTCTGTGATAATAAGGATAATCCCGATATTATCAATATAGAGAAAAAAATATTTTTTTAATTAAAATTTCAATTTTTTTTTTTATCAATGCATTTCTTTTGTTTTGGACGACTTTACAGGTAGTAGGATTTCCTAAATGAAAATCTAACACAACTAAAGAAAAATTCAGAGGAATTCAAATGAAATTAATAAAGGAATAGGAAATATATTTTTTCCTCAAAAACCCTTCTTCTAATTATTAATATTTTGGCAACCAAAAAAATGTCTTTTTAAAAAAAATAAAAACTTAAAACACATAAAAAGAAATTTTCAATAAAAAATAAAAAATCATATTATAATTCTGATGTAGCCATATAAAACATTTTCTTAAAAACTAATTTGAGAAAAGTATATAAAATAATTAATATAAAAAATAAAAATAATATTCTCATTGAATATTGAAAATTAATTGATAATATTACCATAAAAGCTAAAATTTAATTTGAAAAGTAAGTATTTTAATAATAAAAAAGTTGATAATGTTAAAAACTAAAAATTAAATGTAATTTTTCTTGTAAGAAGCAAAAATAAATGCACGTGTACATATTATCTATTATTCTCAAATTTTATTCTATTATTCTTATTTATCTTAAAGGCTAATTATGGTAGTTGATTGCATATGATTTCTTCTTAAAAATATATCATACAAATATAATTTATTTATTTAAAATTAAATATGTAAAATATATGTAATTTTCTAATAATAATTAAATTTTAGGTCAATCGGAATTTAGAAAGGCATGTCAATACAGGTTAATAGAGATTATTCAAATTTTGTTGGTAAAAAAAATCTAATAATTTAAATTCTATGAAGTAATATGAAAAAATTTAAACTTAAAGGATCAAATGAAACTTTTATATATTTTATTTGTGAAAAAAATCTTGTGTCTATCTCTCAGTACATTTTTTTAAAAATAATACTGGTCATTAATAGAATAAAACATGATTAGAATAGAATAAAAAACCGCATTTTAGGTAAGTGAAAGAAAATAGAATAAAACACATCTAAGCACATAAAAATATAACTTTAAGTGATGAAATTAAAAAAAAAATAAAGTTCATTCACCAGATTATAAACCTTGTAAAATAGAGGGACTAAAATGAGAAAATTAGAAAAAATGTATAGTAAATAAACAAATTTTGTGCTTATTGATAGATAATTATTTTTTAGATAACAAAAAGAAATGTTGTTTTAGTTCATTTATTAATGTTAATGTTAATGAACCATGTTTTTAGTTTTTAGAGGTGAAATCTAACTTTGCATTAACTCAACAAAATATTATTAGAGTCGAACAATCAATATTCTAACCCATATCAAACTCCAAATCTAAAAAAACAAAAACAATTAAAGTTAAATTATAAAAAATATTAAATGATATGAGGTTTTTATTATAACTTTAGATATAGATTAATTATGAATTGCAATAATAAAATTTATTTGGGTATGATGAATAATTAAAAGAAGCATGTAGAGATTTTAGTATTTTTATGTTGTATTTTTTATTTTTTATTTGAAAAGTTGTTAATATATATTTATATATTTTAGTGAGTTAACAGCGTCAAAATCATTAAAAAAAATATGAGAGATCTTTTAGAAATTAAATTTGACCAAATAATATTTAAATAGATGTGCAACCGTAATGTATGCAGAAATATTAGCATTCTTTATTTATTTGTTATTTACTTAGGTATAGTATAATCACTTAAAAATTTAAAATATTCTCCATAATTTTAATATATTTTTTTAAAACAATATTAACCGGCTTGGAGTCAATATGCTGGCAGAAGGAAAGGGTGTTCATATTTTTGATGGGGTTAAAGAAAAGAAGTGGTCCACGCGTGCCAATATTACATAGGCTGTATGTGTGAGTTGACATGACGAGGAGGGCAAGCGTGCTATGAGGAGTAATCACGTGTACGTGTAAACGTTTATATAAACAAACAAACAGAGGCACTCAAGATCACTACCGCCGAAGAAATAAACCAAACAAAACTAAGGCGGTCATCCTTCCCTTCGTTTGACATACGCAAACAATACTAAGGAAGCAAAGAGGAAGAATCATGAGTTAATTAAGCATAGTTGTGAGTGAACCGAGCGATCAGAACTAAAATGGAGATCATAGAGACAACTACTCTGCAGCAGCAATCAATGTCGTCTAAGTTCAAGAGGATTTGTGTTTTTTGTGGGAGTAGTCAAGGCAAGAAGACTAGCTATCAAGTTGCTGCTATTGACCTTGGCAACGAATTGGTACCTTCTTTTAAAAATATATATATATCTATTTGTCTCTGCCTGCCCATTGCTTTGCATGTTCTTTTCTTTGATAAGCCATTTTGCTATGAATTTATAAACATTGTGAAAGCTTTCTTATGTTTGTAACTCGGCCCTCACGAGTCTCGACATTTTACTTGTGCTAAATTTGGAAACTTTCTTCTTAATTATTCTGCCTTTTTTTAATTCTTTCTTGAAGGGATATATGCTTTGATGTACAAACAAGAACACATTTTTCTTCCGTCAAAAACTTGACCATCCATCATTCTTCACATAAGGATATCTGAGCCCATACATAACCACATTAACAGATTTCCTAGAAAAGACCTCATTTTGGTTTCCTGATAGTTATATTATGGTTTTATTTTGCAGGTCTCAAGGAATATTGATCTGGTCTATGGAGGAGGTAGCATAGGTTTGATGGGTCTGATTTCACAAGCTGTTCATGATGGTGGTCGTCATGTTATTGGGTAATCAAGCCTTTCCTTCATGTCCAAGTTTTGTCTTCTAATTCATGCATTGAAATAACATTGAGATGAGTTGAGAAACAAAATCAGTGAGCTGGGTCGTGATTTTTCTGTCATATTATTGTATCTTTGCAGAGTTATTCCCAAGACGCTCATGCGTCCAGAGGTATGTCTGCTGGACCCAGCAAAAATAAAGTCCCCTAACTTTTCATTACATTTTCTTCAAGGATAAAGGCTCCAACTTTATTCTTCTTTTAATTTTTCTTTACTGGATTTGAATAAAAATAGATTTTTGGCTTTTCATTTTCTTTTCTATTGATATTCTTCCTTGCTTTTGGCTACTTTCTTTATCTACTTCCATCTTTCCATTGTATAAACATGTATTTTTTTGTTTGTTTCTCAAGGCTTCTGTTTCTCAAGGTTTCTGTTCCTCTGATGAATACATCATAGCCTTATCCACTGTCTGCTTGGATCATTGGCACGTAGCATTAGACCTTTTGCATATATAATCTTGGTTTGTATTTGCTACTGTCATCTCTGGTTAGTTCATTACAAGTATTTACTTCCCGTGTTTTTCTTGCCTGGATTCTTCTAAAATTCGAATTTACTTTTCTTTTAAGCTAAAGAATTAATGGCTATGAAGTTGCTGAGTTGAATACTATGGATTGAGTCCACCACTCCTGCAAACATTCATTATTGCTTCACTGCACAACACTCAAATTCCAGACACTTACTCTCTCACACGCAGACACGCAATTTTGATCTTTTTATTTTCTTTGACTGTGCCTGTGGTGCCCTCTTGCAGTTGACTGGTGAAACAGTAGGAGAAGTGAAGGCAGTTGCAGATATGCATCAAAGGAAGGCAGAGATGGCTAAGCATTCTGATGCTTTTATTGCCTTACCAGGTTAGTTATAAACTCTGCAAAATTCACACTTGCATGAAAATTTGAAAGAAATTCAATAAATCATAAATACAATCAGTTGGTTCTCTTTCCTTTTTACGAATTTTATAATGTCAGATTGGCCATATCTCATGTTTTGATTCTTGGAGTTCCGAGGATGCCTGATAGCACTTTTCTTTGTCTGCTGTCTCAATTGCGTTTGATTATTGATTGTGTTTAAGCTAACCCCTTTACAAGATGAAATATGAAATGAAAAGGAACTATATTTCTAATAGTTATATACTTTATGTCATTATCCTTCATATGTTCTTTCATTTTCCTGATCCTCCTTGTGTCGCTAGACAAGTGGCCACACGCACAAATTATGAGGAGAACGTTGACTGTCAAAAGTGTGTAAAAACGTCAACTTAAAAGTGTCAAGGATTTTTTTTTTTCTGTTTTTAAACGTAGGGTCTAGGCTATAGTTGCTGTTGTATGTTATTTCTATAAACGGCGTCATATGGTAATGCTGTGAAAACAACAGTGTTAAGCCTCTTTTACCACATCCTTTTCAACCTTCCATCACCAGCCCAATACTCATTATTACAAAGAAACAATTCATACCCAGGTTTTTGACCCATCAACATCTTACATTGAAAATTAGAGCTTATAGTGAAGTCTGCAACTGTGGCTACTGGCTCATATGCTACTTTCCTCTGATGTAGTTCTGCGGCTAGTAAATGTTACAGTGCCATTTATTTCTTAGCATATTGAGGGCGACGAACGCACAAACACACTCTGTGAATTTGTGCCAGCCAGCACCAGCACCTAATAGGCAATGATGGGAAATGGAAGGCATGCTTGGACAGAATGGCCCATTTATCTTCTCATGGACTCCATTTTGTAATAGAATCCACAACCCCAGTTAAAAATTGAAAGACATCCACTCTGTAACGTGATAAGATTAGAGCTATTATCACCTTCATGGGTGGGCAGAAGATTTTGTCCCTGCTATGAAGACTGTTCAAGATGCTGACAAATCCTCCCCCCACCCCCCACCAAAAGAAAAAAAAAAACTCGAGAAAGAAGATAGCAGATGAAAAGAAAATTTTGATCATCAAGCTACAAACAAAACCATGTAACTTTAAATCCACAGAAGTTGAGGTCAAGATGTAGAAATTAAGTCATGATTATCCTAGAGGTCATTATTGCAACTATTTTAAACATGCAGAGCGGACAAATATCTAGGTTCGCTACTGATTTATGGTACTAAATAATTGACATGTCCTGTATTCCTTGCTGCTGATATTACATTTCTAATTTACGTGTCCTATCCAGCTACAATTAAACATATGTACAGTTCTCAAATGCCTCTTATGTCCTTCCATGAAGTAATTTGGATTAGAATGTTAATTTTGAAATACTACATGTTTTAAATATAGGTGGTTATGGAACGCTGGAAGAGTTACTTGAAGTCATAACCTGGGCTCAACTTGGAATTCATGACAAACCGGTGATTTCCATGTTTACAATACTGATACCATGTTATGCCTACTGCTGTAATGTCTGCAGGAGACGTCTCAACTGCTTTATCTATTTTAAGGAACTAACAATGCATCCTGTTTCCACATTGCGAAGGTTGGATTGCTTAATGTGGATGGATACTACAATTCCTTACTCTCGTTTATTGACAAAGCTGTCGAAGAGGGATTTATTAGTCCCAGTGCACGCAACATTATCGTTTCTGCACCAACAGCAAAAGAGCTGGTGAAGAAACTGGAGGTTTGCTAACGAAACCATATCTCCTTAGTCCTTGCCTAAGCTTAGAAGATTTTACTTCTTAAATTCATCAAACTAATCTTAACTTAGCGAAAAATATTTGTTCATGCTTATAACTTTACATCGAAATAGCACATACCTGTTACGTAAAAGCCAACTTGCCCTGTTTCATCACCTTCCTTTTAAAAGGCTAATATTAAAACTTTCCTTGGTCAGAAATACAAGTGATAATACTGAAATTTTGTTCACATGTTTACTTGCTGAATATCATAGGAGTACGTCCCCTGTCATGAAAGAGTTGCGTCAAAGTTGAGCTGGGAAATTGAGCAACTTGGCCACTCTCAAAATCATGATATCTCTAGGTGATTTGCGGAAGATTGCACTAAAGGAGCAGATGGGAGTTTGGAAGAAAAAGGAGCCAATTTTGGACAACCAGTATTGAAATTTCCGTTGTGGGAAATTTTTTTTTGTAAATTATTGCAATTAATCTCAAAATGTTTAAGCTTCTTAAGAGCCCTTCTAGTGAATTTGGTGTTTCTGTTGAGCTGTAATTAAGTACTAGATGCTTATGAAAATTCCCATTTTAAATGTAAAGTAATTTATGTTCCATGTGTCAACTATCTTTCACTTGCCTCTTCGTTTCCTTGCAAGTTCATTTGCTTTCATTTCTTAATCAATTAGTTTCTCCATCCTTCTTGCTTTTAAAAGCTCTGGATAAAAAATAAAAATAAAAATATCAAGAGTAAAAGTTTTGACAGATTGTTTCACCTGACTTAATTCAATACGGATCAACCTAAGATATACAAATTTTTATTTAGTTGTTGCGCTTGCAAATTTTTGGCGAAATTCAATACGGATCAACTTAAGTAAATTTTTTTAAAAAATAGACAATGAAATGAAATGTATACATAATAAAATGTGTGTTATCTTAATTGTGCTATCAATATTAGATATACAAATTTATATAAAATATTAAGATAATTGCTTAAACTCAGTCTTCTTTTTTCTTTCTTTTTGAACTTTTTTTATTGATTTTTTCATGAAATCCTTCATGTTTGTTAATACAAGCTTTGTATAAAACTTGTGTAACACTTATTCTCGACTAAACATATAATTAGTCTAATTTTTATTTTATTGTTATTATTAAAATATATAAAAACATAAATATGTGATCTAAAGGTCAATATTTTTAAGTCCAATACCTCTCAATTTCCTCCATTTCCTCCATTGTTCTTCCAAAAATCCTCCCAACAATTAAATTCCACCTAAAAAGATCAAAACTTTCTCATTTAAAACTAAAATAGTTTAAGTAAATAGATAGATAAAGCATAAAGAGTGAATTTTAAGCCTAACTCTCATCAATTAAATTGTATATCCTAGTAACAAGGGTTTCCTCATCTTCTCAGAATTCAACCTTATAATATTGGCTGATATCTAAAATGGTTTAGTACTCATTTGGCTAGTACAGATGGTAGTAATATATAATAATTTTGATGAAAAGAAAAACTACAATTTTTTTGGTGACTTTTAGTGAAATCTTTGATGGGGACTTGTGATGGCTATAAAAGTTAAAGATTTTGATGGATAATGGCCGGGTCTCTTATTATAAAAGGAACCAATTATTGTTATAGGTTCTGGGTTTAGAGAAGGAGGTTATGCTTTTCAATAAAAAGAGTGTGAGAAATGGGAGAATGTTAACACGAAGAAAGAGGATGAGTTATGTGGTAATAGTAAGCTTTAATATATTTGAGGATATTATTGTCACTTTATTGATTTTAAAAATCTATTTTGACTTAGTTTGCAAAGTATAATAACCAAAAACTTAATTGTAAGGTGAAAAAAATTAAAATATAAGATGTCTAAAGTAATGTTTTCAAATAAAATATTGATGAGGTTATTGGATCTTATCAAGTCAATAACTTAACTATCAAGTTTCTCTTATTTCTTTAAAAATGCTATCATTGCCCAGGTATTTTTTTATGTTAGAAAATGTTTGGTTTGGCCATGGCATAACACGTGCCAACCAATCTAGTCATTAGCTAATATATGAATTGACATTAGCACCGCTATACATATATCTTATAGTCTAGTTTTATACCTATATAATTTGATGGAATTGATAGCCTAATTAGGAATAACTAGATTATTATTCACTTTATATTAAAAGTCAAGTTATTTTTTTTTTTTAGACAAAAAATTTCTAGGTATTGTTAATGTATTCTTTTTACTATATAAAAATTAAAACTAATGGTGATTGAACTTATATGACCTAGTTAATTTAGCAAGTCTAAAAAAAACTAGGATGACTGATAAAACTGTAGTTGACTAAAAAAAATTAAGATGACAACTTTTTTTAAATATTGGAAGGATAACATATTAAATTAACTTAGGTTAACCTCTCAAATCTGTTATTTAGATCATGAGACCCTGATAACCCTATAGAAAACAAATAAAAAATAATTCTTAAACTCAATTCTCAATCAATTCAATATTAAAAATAAAATTGAAAATAAAAATTAATTAAAAAAATAAGTCAAGTCATCTTAGGTTAACTTGTTAAATCTGAATCATGAGACTGAGATAACCCCATAGAAAAAAAATTAAACAAATTATGAAGCTTAATTTCTAATTAACCAAATATCAAAGGATGAAATTATTAAAAACAAATACAAAAAACCACTTGAGTCATCCTAAATTAACCAACCAAACTTGCCGGGTCATGAGTTTGAATAACCTCATAAAACACAAATTAAAATAAATTATAAAAATTAATTTCCAATCAACCCAATATTAAAAAATAAAATTGAAAATAATTCTACTAAAATATGACAAAAATACTTGAGTCAATCGGCCTTACCCACAACCTAGAACATAGATCGTGAAAACCCTATAAAAAGAAGATGATTTTTTTTTTTAAACTCGAAGATCATGATAACTCAATAGAAAATAATATATATATATATATATATATATATATATCTTGATGCCCCCGAAAGCAAAGGTCAAAGATAAGGGCAAAGCCCCTCAAACCTAGCCTACAAAACCAGAAAGCTCTAAACTCTCTACAAAACTCATGTTTTCAGTTATTCTAGCTGCCAAACTAATCAAATCCTGATATAAGAAAGTTATTGAAGAAGATGATATATATATGTTCAATTCTCAAATCAACTAAACATTGAATGATCATATTAAAAAAAAAATCAATTAAAAAAGGACAAAAAAATACATAGTAAACCTATCTATGCAGTGAGCTAGATCAAATTTTTTAAACGTAAAAAAATATTCAAGTATTGCTAACGTGTTTTCTAGAATAAAAAAAAATTAAATCATACGGGGATTGACCCTATTAACTTGACAAGTCTAAAAATAACTTGAACATTAAAAAATAGCTCGAGTTAACTTGAGTTAATCCATTAAATCCACGAACTAAATTATGATATCAGGATAAGCAAACTCATTGAAGGATAAGTTAAAAAAAAATTAAACCTTAAAAAAAAAACATAAACCTTTATTAAAGTGAATCTATGTGAGAAAGGGTACAATAAATTCCCCTCCTTGCTTTAAGAAAAATAAACTATAAAAATTGATATAATATAACCTAATCAAGCTCAGAAATCAAAAAATAATTAAACATAAAAATAATTCAAATTAAGAATATAATATGGAGATAAGTAAACCCATTTGAAAACAAAAAAAGCATTGTTCAAGTAAATAACACTAAGTGAGGAGGGTAATAAAGTGAGTTGCCATCCTCAATTAGTTTATATTAATAAATAAATATACATCCCCATGTACCCTTGCATTGATTGAATTCATCTTCTTGAATGATGTTATAAGTGGTTTATTTCGAGTTCATTATTAAGTGAAGAAAATAATTATATATAAAATGAACTCATATAAACCTACAATTCATTGTTGCAGGTGAGATTTTGTGCGCGTAGATCCAATATGGATGTGCAGGCCTATACATATTACGAATTATCTTGATTTTTTGTAATAAAGATAAATTTTGGGGTTTGTTTGAGAAATTTGAAGGATAAATTGAAGTATTTCTTTGATTACATGTAATGGGTATTTTATAATCTCTAAATAACCAACTGAAATACAATATGTAGCACTTGTGATTTTTGTATTTGTAGAGTAGGTCATCAAGAACAGCGTTCCTCAATTTTATTATCTATTCATTCTTTACTTTTGAAGCTCTTATGGTTCTCCGAATGCATCCAATTTTCAAACAATGGACTTGAAATTATTAGTTTCAAAGCTCGAGATAAGTAAACACAGGGGACAGGACGAGGGAAGTGTAATTGATTAGGATAAGATAAAAGGGTCCAGATTGTTTTTCGTTCACTACTCTATTTCCAGGTACTTGGTTTGCTGTTAAGGTTTGTGGACTGGAGGCAAAAGACAGGCCTAACTCAACCACCGACCACTAACGGAAGGAGGGGCCAGGTGGTGTTCATTGGAATATAAAAAACAAGGGGACCTCATGTTTTCACAGACAAGGTTTTAGGGACCAAATTGGACATTGACATGTGTTATTAGGGGCCACATATTGCCATTGAAAAAGAGAAGGAAAGATGATGAGCTGATGTTCGGAAACATTGCGGTAACTCCTCTGAGTTTAAGGAAAAAACAGTATATGGTCCAGATAGAACAGATTTTGTTACCGTTTGTTTTTCAAGATCACCAAATAAAAAGGTTGCATTGGATGTGAAAGCTATAATAAATGGATTGATTTTGAAACAAATGAATGGACTGCTCCCTACCAGAATCGTTCAACGTTTTTTTTCCCAGTCAGTCGAAGGCGTTCATTCGATGGAAGGAGAAGCTTTAATAAAGGAAAAGGGTTCCATATCCACTTGCGTTATTGTTGATTAGACAGGAATTTTGAACCTAGAGATCTATCGAAACACGAACACATGCATAGAAAAAAGCCAGTGACTAGGTTTCTTTTAGTCTTCAGGACAGGAAAACAACACAGATGATCCCCTGTTTTCCCCTGTCTGATGTGAAATGTCATCAACAAGGATAAAAAGACATCCCACGACGAAGCACCTTTTTTTTTCCCCACAGATTTCACGTCTCTTTTCACCATCTTTGTCTGGCTAGGTAACACTCATACTGCACTCCAATACCAGAATACGGGCTACAATTTCTTAATCTTTAAAAAAATAAAAAAAATAACATCACTACTTTACAAGCTAGTGTTGAGCTGCAGATCGAGTTAAAAAATTCTTGAATATAAAACAAACTATTCAGTACATAGAGAAATAATAAGTTTTATATATATATATATATATATATATATATATTAAATGTATTTCAATGGATTAACCTTGAAACCTCTTAATTCAACTTCATTTCTAATTTGAGCTTAATATTAAATTATATAGGAGTTATCTTGATATAACACAGTCAACTTGGTTAGTCCAAAGACATATAATTCAATAGATAAAAAAATTACGAGGATTAAATTGAAATAAAAAAAACTTAACCCAATTTTTTATCTAACTTGAGTTTAAAATAAAATTATCTTGAAGTTTTGCTAATATGACTTGGTCAACTTGACCAATCCAAATGCAACTTGATTGACTAGTAAAAAAAATAATATAGT